GGAGCCTGGGCAGATTTTGGTGATAGGAGAAAGGGGACTGGTCATCTATAGAAAAGTGTGTGAGAGAACTTGGCAGTGGACTGCATTGATCAGTTACAGTCACAATGTTAAATGAACAAAATTCTTGAACACTTTTTTTTCAAAAAAATGTTCAGGTTTATTTGTGGAAATGCAAGATTTCTATGAAAATAGTTTTTGTATGGAAATTTTTGTAATACTTTTTATCAACAAAATAAGAACCTGTGTTCCTGTCGGGGTGTGACGTCAAGCATGGATGGTAGTGCGTGTGCACCACCAACGTTTGGTGAAAACTATTTTTATCAAGAAAAAAGGAATCATAGAAGAGAAATATTTTCAAGTTAGATAATATAAAAGCCAGGTGCACTACCACCACTGCTTACCATGCCACACCCCCGGTTTCCGAGGCTGACAACATGCTGTAATGAACAATTGTGTGTAAAATGGTAAAAGACACAGACCTCTTGACAACATTGTGATAACAGTTGAGTGCACACAGTTTGCTGTTTGAATCCAATGCACAAAATTTAAAAAAAATCATTAAAATTATGTCCATTTTACTTTCAGCTTTGGCTTTCATTTTTCTCTCGTATGTGTAAATTAATGCACCATCTACTCTTTGCATTAAGAGAACTTCACCTCCTGAAAACTGTTAGATGATTAAGGATGGCCATTTCCCAACTATCTGATTAAAAAAAGAAAGAAAAAAGCTTGGGGAGGAGCTTCTCTGATCTAGTAAAAGCTGGACTGTGATATAAAAGTTTATATTTAGGCTTAGGGCAATTAAGTGAAAAAGAATGAGGCATTCTATAGGTGACAGTCAGGATCTTACCTTTTCTATAAGTGGATGTCACCTGGGTTCACTGGGTTCTGTAAGACTGTACAGTGATCAGTGCTTTGTGTTCACAGTATAACTCATGTACAGACTAAGAATTCCTTGTGCACTGATAATTCAGTGTAATTCAGTGATAGGGGAGGGGAAGAGAGCAGCTTAATATTACCCTTAGTAAGGGTAATATTAGTAAGGGTGACCCTCACAGATCACTTTTAAAAAACAAATCATAACATTTATTTTATTAAGAAAAATAATTAAAACCTTTGACAGAAAACACAATGAAAAGGAACATCTGTGATGTATTTCTTTAAACTCGTAATAGTTGCATAAGTTGCATAATCAAATTGCCTAATATCTAAATTAAATGAAAAATTAAATGCCAAAGTGTTCTAAGGCCTGGTCTTACGGTTTTTCTATGTTAAAATTCACACTTCAGCGATAACCTTGGGTCTAAATGAAACTTCAGTGAGTTACACAATCACTGATAAAATCTCAGCATTGGTTGTTTAATGGTAAATAGCCTCAAGTAAATTATCTCGTTAAAATGTTCAAATTATGGGCAATATAAAGCTTTATGACAATGAGACGTTAACTTCATTTTAAAGGAATTTAAATAAGCAATTTCTTATTATATTAAAAAATCTCAGATAATAGGCTGAAAATGACAAGTTTGCATATGTTTAAGCAGGAAATAATTATTTAGATTTCGGGTAAAATACAACAATTATTTTATTCAAGTATTAAATTACTGAATTATGAAAAGCTTGAAAAACTGCCACATTTTAACTTTTTTAGTAATGCAGAATATATAAATAATATATAATATTAATTTTTATCCATTTCCTAAATGGTATCTGCATTATTGCTGAAATAGATATTTCCCTATTTATCTGATACCCATATGTGAGATTTTAATCTTAATTTTGATAAAATCACTATTACTTTCAAAATAAAATTCAACTTGAGAAAACCTCTTTTCCCTTCGAGGACAGTGTATTGGAGTAAGCATTGTTATCTAGAAATGTGATCCCAAAATCCTGGGCTGCAGACCGGTATGAGTCCATGGTGTATTAGGAATTGGGCCTCACAGAAAGAGGAGAGCAGTGAGCAAGCCGGTGAATCTTCATCTGTATTTACAGCTGCTCCCCATCACTCCCGTCACCACCCAAACTCCACCTTCTGTTAGATCAGCAGCAGCGTTAGATTATTTTAGGAGCACAAACCCTGCTATGAACTGTGCACGTGAGGGCTGTAGGTTGTGTGCTCCTTATGAGAACAATGCCTGATGATCTGATCTGAGATAAATACATATAATGTGCTCGAATCATCCACCCATATGGGAAAATTTTCTTCCATAAAACTGGTCCCTAGTGACAACAGGTTGAGGACCACTGCCCTAGAATAGCACTCAAATCGCAATAAGGAGAAAGAGAACACTTGTTTTAGTCAACAACATAATCTGAGAGTCCAGATCATTAACAGACAAAACAACCCTAACTATGATGATGAGAACCCCAAGGATTTATGTTTACATATACCACAACTAAGTAATCTGAACCACTGTGCCAGTGTTGTTCAGCCTTTTTTATCTCACAGCACACTTGAACCTGTTGTTAAACTTCCATGGCACACTTAAATTATATTAATAAAAAAAAGAGTAAAAAAAGGATACACTTAGTGTGCTTTGAACTTCTTTCAAAAATAATTTAATTAGTGATCTTTAAAAATGTTTGCGGCACATCTGTTGAAAATCACTACACTGTGGGATGACCAAAGAGGTACATTCCCAACTAAGTAACCCTAATAGCTATAAGAACATCACAGAAATATATTCATATGTTTTCAACTGAATAAACCTAACGACTGTGGGCACATTATGGGAAAATACTCTAGTTTACACATATGTAAAATGGATACGAATATTTTACTTATTGGAATGTTTTGCAACTCAGTTATATTTTTTAAATCTAAGTTCCTTGTTTGATTATTGAATATGTATATGTACTAATCACAAAAGATTTCAAGGTATTTTTAGTACCACAACACTTTTTAATATTTGTATAATAGAATCATGGCATTTGACTCTAGTGTGAACTAAAACTTGTTTAGAGGGAGTGGCGTGTTCCATGTAATCTGAGTATAGGCTTATTATGGCTTATTTCCAACTCTCAGGTTTAACCTTAAGCAGAATACTTTTATAAAAAGGAATATGTAGCTGTTTTAGGAAAGAGCATGAAAAAATACAAGAAGAATTTCATCAGTGTGTTACAAAGGCAAGCAAAATGTAAATAACAATATAGGCCAGGCTTGCCTGGAAAATTTGCCTTCAGATTTAAAAGATAACACAGTGATAGTGAGGATTTTCATCAACACAGTCCTGATTGTATCTGTAACTTGAGTCAAACTGCTCTAATATGGACTGAGGGGTGCCCTCTGTGTCTATAGCACAATTATTTTTGGAAGACTCCTCCCTTCTCTCACCTTCTGGTGATTCCCTTTGTCTCTTGGTTATAGTCAGTTCCCTGTTGCCTCTAATATATCTTCTCCCTCTTCTTGATTTATTTTCTAATTTTGGTGGCTTCTAGAGAAGGAGTACTTGAGACATCTATTTTTTGAAGTATGTCATGTCTGAAAATATTTTGATTTTCCCCTCACAAACAGTTGTTAGTTTTGCTAGGTATAAAAGTTGAAAATCACTTCTAGATAAATTGAAGGCACTCTACCATTCTACTCTTGGCCTTTTTTTTTTTTTTTTTTTTTTTTAACTCCAAGCCAAAAGAAAAAACCTGAAGTTGTTCAGATCCCTGAGTCTTTGTATGAGATTTATTATTAACTTTTCCTTAAGTTTATATGACCGTCTCTTTGTCCTTAGCATTATGAACTCAATTGTAGGCATGGATCCACTTTCATCCACTGTGCTGGGTCTTGCTGAATTGTTCAATTAAGCTACTACTGTTTTTCAGTTTGGGAAAACTTCAGAACTATTTATTTGATAATTTTCCCTCCTACTTTCTGTCTAAGTTCTACCTATACACAGTTGCTCTTCTTTAAACATTGAAGTTTCTGAACTTTTCCATTTAAATTTATCTTTTCTCTTTCTCAATTTTGTCACCTTTATCTTCCATATCTTCCAAATACTGTATTCAGTTTCTAATTTCTGTGTAACTGTTTTTATTTCTTTAAGTTCCTGTCTTAAGACTTTGACATCTTCTCTGAAGACATTAATAGAGAACTTT